TGTGGTTGGCCTGGCCGTGCGTCACTCAGAAAACAACAGGCCAATCAGAAGAGAGGCTCATGAATATTAATTAGACAGGCCAAAATCGAACTGTTCTCAGCAGAGCTCCTGAGAAAGGAGCTGTAAAAATATATTGAGATGGTTTTTGGTACTTATACCGCAAATATATATTCTTAAGGACATCAAAACCTCAAATAAAACTCCAGAAAGGTGTAAAATATGGGACCTTTAATATATTTCAAACTGTAAGTTATTCCTGTGATAGCAAAGTGAATTCTCAGCAGCAATTACTCCAGTCTTCAGTGTCACATCAGATCATTCAGAAATCATGCTAATACGCTGCTCAAACATTTCTTATAATTATCAATGTTGAAAACAGCTGTACTGTTGAATATTTGTGTGTGAACCTTGATGCATTTTACTCAGGATTCTTTGATGAATATGAAGTTCAACAGAACAGCATTTAATTGAAGTAAAAATCTTTAGTAACATCATAAATGTCTTTCCTCACACTTTTGCTCAAAAGTGTCCTTGCGGAATAAAAGTATTAATTTCTTTAAAAAAATAATTGTGCTGACCACAAAACTTTGATTGGAAGTGCCATTCTGTGTCCTTGTATGCAGTGTGTGATTGTACCTGATTGGCTGCTCTTATTCTCCACAGTTTGTGTGTATTCCTGTATCTCTGCTTCTGATTGGTTGAAAGGGTTGGGTGGTAGAGCAGCTGTCTGCTCCTCATCCTCATAGATGAATGCCTGAAAATAATAATGGCAAAGGGACTGACTGACAATTGTGTCTTAGTGATGTAATTTTTAATGATGTTTTGCTACGACGGTGGTTTTGGACTTAATACTGCCAAATATGGAAGCCTGTTTCCACCTCAGGGTAAAAAAATCAAAAAGGTAATTGTGAGATAAAGTTTAAAATGAGATTAAGTCACAATTCGAGATATAAAGTCACAATTACCTTTTTGACTCTGAAGAGGAAACACAAAACCGAGTAGAATTTACCGTGAAATCATGACACGAGTCCCTACGAACAACAGCATTTTCTAGGCTGCTGATGTTACTGAGGTTTCATCTCATGTGAGTGTCATCATTTTAAACATACCTTTCAAAAGTACTATTACACTAGAAAAGTTATATAGTGTACTTTTAAAGCGTGTTTGTTTGATTGGTACTTGTGTTCGTGTTGGATTTATTGGTGTAGTTACGCACTGGTCCTGGAGGCTTGTCAATAACAATGTCTGCCAGCAGCTGAGACTTGGGTCCAGCTGTCATCAGATCAACTCTGTTCTGCTCTCGAATCTAAACCAGCACAAACAAAGCAGTGCTTCAGTGTACAGAACACAATCTGTGGACACAGTCTGTTCAGTCTGTATTCTCTTTCTCTCGGTCAACATACCTTATTTCTTTTTTCCAATACTTCATTTGGGTTAGTATTAAGTGGGACAAACTGGTTGGGGTCCTCAATCCTAATTGGGTTGTCCTTGCAGTTGCCCGACTCTTCTGACTTCATCCACTAAAAAGAAAATATACATAAAACAGAAAACATGCTGAAATGTTTGGCATTCCACCAGTTATTTTATGTATTATATTTTAAATATTTATATTATATTTATCTACTGGTATGATCTACGGGAGCTCATTTTCCCTCAAAATAAAAAAAGAAAAAGTTAATTGTTACTTTGTGAAACAGTATATTATTATCTATTTATTGCTTACTTTTAAATATATCTTAACTGGCTTTTTAAAAAAATTTTTACTCGGAGGTGGTAACATGCTTCCATACTGACCAATGATTAACAACACTGAACACTAACTTTATGGTCATTAAGTTGATTAGGTGAATTTATAGATAATACTAATTCCTAGCTGTGTGAAACCCTTGATGCTGTTTGCAAATATGTTTGCACATGATCATATGCAAGGATACCATGGTTTTGGTCCGGGGGCTGCAGGCCCCGTTGATGGATTCCTCAGGTACGTTGACCTTTAAGTAGCTGTTTGGTGAGTTCAGCCACCGTATCCTCTCTCTGTCCCGCTTTTGTGCCAGGAAGTGCAACGGACTCTGTGGAAAGGTGTCCTTTTCCTCTAGTCCCACCCCCGTGACAGTTGCTGGGATTTCCACATCATTATGGTGTCGGGGCTTCTCTTTAACTATGGGATGCCGGTAAGTGTAACCTGTTCTGTAACCCTAGAAACGCAAGAGGTGGCATGTTAGCTACCACTATTGTTTTCTACTGTTAAATATTTAATAATACATGCTTAATGCAGCCCAAAAGACAACATTTAAATGTTGCTAGCACATCTGGTATAGATTAGCTCACAGGCCACTCACTAAGTTATCTAACATCCTCATAAGCGACTCAAATTCTGCCTCTCCAACCCTCCATCTGATCTGTCCGTCTGGCATTTGTCCACTGGGTTTTTTCGTAGGAGCAATTTTCAGACTTGCTCTGTCTAACACGCACAGGTTGTCAACGCCACCCGCACATAACAGAGCACTAACCTGAAGAAAAACAAAGACAGAAAGACAGAGATACTGTTGGACCAGTTTAACCACTCTATAAATAAACTGAGCTGGAATGATCTGGGCCTTGGATTCAAAAAAGAAAAAAAAATGACTGGCAGTTTGGTTGTCAATCCATTCCATTTTCTGTGTATTCCAGATTTAATTTAATCCAGTACATATATTCCTTTTTCATTTGGTTTATGTATTTGTATTAGTTTATTTATTCGCATATGTGTGTATTTCAGTTTTGAATGTGTGTGTGTACCTGTATCTCACAAGCTTGGTGACTGTGATACAGATAATGAAAAGCTTCCTCTATCGTCTCTCCAAATGTCAGTAAACCTTGATTCCTCAGGACCAAAACCTAAAAACAAGCAGAATTACATCAGTGTTGCGAATCCATCCGTAATAGATCCCAGTAATGCACAAAATATTACTATAAATATGATTCTGTGCAATATTATAATCATAATGACTATGACTATAAAAATGGACAATTTAAAAATATTAACAAAATTCTAAAGCACATTTTAATTTGACAATGGTTAGGACCTGCTATTTTTGTCTGCTTAAGCTTTGCCATGCTGTACTATAGTGAACTCCTAATGGTTGTCATGCCAACGTGTAGCAGAATTCACAGACTGTCACCTTGGCAGTGGGACCAAGAGCTTTCTGAAGTTCCATCTTCTCCTGCTCGTTGGCTAAATCACCATGGTAGCTAAAATAAGACACCTCCCCCAGCAGCAAAGCTTCATGGGAGATGGGTAAGATGCCACATTTCATAGAAGAGACCTGCGGGACATACAGAAGTTGCAATGTGTGTGTTACAGGCAGTGTGAATACGGTGCATATGCCAATGGTTTTAAGGGTCTGGGGCCCACTAGTGAGCCTCATCAAATTTCAAAAGGGGCCACAGGACATAGATATATATATATATATATATATATACACACTGATTGTGTGTGTGTTATTACTCACGGCAGCTGTAGT